ATGCCATGCACCACTAATTTTCTTAGCTATAAACCTTGCGGAGCCCAAGACCTTTCCAACGAATGCAAAATTGTCGGTACGTGCGTTCTGGAGTTATATAGCTCCGGAAGGAAAACCCGACTTATTTTTATATATATAGAAGACTACAATTTGATCTCAATATACTTTTTCAAAACTAGTTAAAAATTTGAAACGACTCTAAAAACATACTAGTAAAAAATAACACTAACAATGAGTTAAATTAACTTAACGATGGTTTAGAAAATAAATCATTTTTAATATTCATTATTACTACCCTTTACTTTTTTTAATTTGAAAGCATGAAAACACAAACGCAGTAAGTTCTTAAATCATTAAATCAGAGAATAAAGAACACAATATCTTTCATATTTCAATATTAATTTATATAAACTGAATTTAATGAACTCAACGATCTTTACGAAAGAAGTTGTCAAACAAAAACGATCAAAACTTATCTTTAAATTGAAATTATACGTTTATTACATTTTGTTTATGACAAATTTAGAATTTTTTAAAATATTGTAAAAAAATAATTAAAATAATCATTATGTGCTAAATATTAAAAAGTTCAAATTTATCATACGCCATGCAGAAATCAAACAAAATTTAGTGGTCATGCATTGAGGAATGATTACTTTGTTTTATTGGCCAATCAACAATATGCACATGAGCATGCAATGAAAACATAAACAGTACATTAAAATCATGAACAATGCAATATAAACCAAAAAAAACAGTTCAGTAAAATCACAAACAATGGAATATACACAAAGAAATGTAAAAACATTTGAAATATTAGCATTTGGTGCTATTTGAACTATTACCAAGTGATGCCATTCGAAATTTTAGCAATTGGTGCCATTCGAAATATTAGCAATTGATGCCATTCGACATATTAGCAATTGATGCCATCTGACATATTAGCAATTGATGCTAACACTTGTAGCGATTAATTTTTATTCAGAGGCGGAAAATCGTCATCTGTAATTGTATTGACTCTGCAAATTGGACACAAGCGGTGCTGATCAAGCCATCCTTCGATGCACTGGTAAGTAAAAAGTAATCGTTAAAATAATTTAAAATGGTTTATAATAGTTAATATTAAGAATTGCACGCACATTAATTATACATTTCCCGGATGAGCTTGCATTTCTGCCAGTGAAAGAAAAAAAGAACAAGAACATTTATATCATGCCCTATATTAAATCGTTATGAGGTTAGTAAGATAAGAAAGCAAGCATATGCGAGATTAGCTTATTAATTACAATAACTTTCAAAGAAAAAAATCTCAATTAAATTACAACACCAATAACATTCAACCCCTCAGTTGATAACCAGAGTAGACGATCCCAAATTTACATATATGCCACTAAAACATGTCGAAAAATGTCTTTATATCATCTCCAATTTGGGTTTACGTAAAACAACCGATGTTTGTTGTCATTTAACGACAGATATAAATGTTATGTTTATTCGAGTTTGGCAACGTTAGTGAAAAAAACATTTCAGATTGCCCCGATCTGTGGGATAGTCCACTATAGTTACCAACTCCTGATCTGAAAACAATTCAATATAAAAATTTATTTTATCTATTTGGCCCACCTTTTTGTGAAAACTATGACGACATATCAGCTCCTTGAGTTCGTCAAAGTTTATTCCCTCTTTGCAGACGCTACACTCGTGTGTTTGCTCTTGGATTTTCTTCCAACCCAAAACACGGCCTTTGGACTGCAAATTTGGGCTCGTACATCTTGGAGTCATGTGAAATTCACTAATCATGTCGTTATAAGTTTTCAATGGGACCAATTTTGATTTTCTTGTTTCCAATACTGTTGTTTTATAATCATCTTTAAAGCAAAAATTGTTTACTCCATCCTCAAATTTTGTGTTATTAGCCATAGTAGAATTTGCAGTAAAAAATTCTGAAGCTTTCTTTGCAATATCAGTGTCATCAAAATCTTTTTCTAAATCATCAGTATTATTGAAAATAGCTTGCTGCATAATATCTGTTGAACTTTTGGTCTCTTTTTCATAACTTGTTCCAACAGGAGTTTGAGGATTGTATAGTTGCTTGTTGTAAATCAAACTGTCACGTTTTGAAAATTCCGCGGAAAGATCAACTTTCTTCCACTTTTTAGGATTCATTTTTCGAGTATTTTTCTTTCCTATTCCACTGTTGTTGCTAGGAGGATATATTGGATCAGATAATACATGCAAATCATCGGTTTTTCGCTCATATGCGAAGTTGTGTTTATAACTTTCTGCATGAATGTTATCTAATGCACCAAAAATTGTTTTGCTAGTATTTGTAGTACTGGTAATTGTATTGCTGATAAGTGTATTGCTGGTAATTGAAAAACTGGTAATTGTATTAATGGCATCTTTATTACTGGCAACTGTATTACTAGCAACTGTATTACTGGCAACTGTATTACTGGTAATTGAATTACTGGAAATTATATTTGTCGTAATTGGTATCCACGGTAGTTTCGGTAAGTTCAATATTCTATTGAAAATACCATCAACCATATTAGCAGCATCTATAGGTTCTCTTTTACATTTATCCTCATGCGGCACAGACAAATTTGTAGTTTTGCATTCGGTATTACTAAAATGACTTCCTGTGATATTTTCTCTAAAAGATTTCGATGCAACTTGACTATTATTGTTTTCCTGCTTAACAATTAAATTTGTATCGGAGGTAATGAGAAAATCAGGTTTCTTAAAAATATTTTGATTGAAAAGATGAAATGGAGAATTTTCAACTTCTACACAAAATTTACCAGACTTCATATCATACACGCACTTCGTTTTATCATTTTTATTAGAACTGTTCAAATCCAAAAAGTTATTATAAATATACTTTTCGGCTTTCCTTGAAGTTTGGTATTGGTTGTCAAAATTAAAACCCTTATATGGAATATGATTAGGCGAAACTTTTTTTTCTGTACACAATTTTATATTATTCGTGGACGCTTCGCGTGCTTCATAATTTGACTTTTCGCTTGATACCTTCTGATCATTATTATCATTTGTTATGTTTAAACAAGATAAATAATTATTATTAGTTTTATTTATATCAATATCTCGGACTTGAAGCGTGCTTTTATTGAACGAAATTTCAGCCTTTTCTCCCCGATCAACTTGTAAACTACTGCCTTCGGGTCCTTTAGAAACTGATATTTTATCTGCAATAGATGGATCAACTACAGTGTTACTCAATACCCTAGACAAATATAAACCAAAACTTGACATATTACTATTACCAACAGTTGACGTGGGATCATAAAGTGTTGTTTTATCAACTTTATTTACATCCTTTGGTAATTTAACTGGTGGACTATCCAATTTGTCGTTTCTATCAAAGCTCTCTGCTAAGTTTTCCACAAGTTCGTCAGGGAATATTTTCTTGATCATGTCCAGACATATTTTTTGACTTGATATATGCAAATCACGATCATTGTCAGGATAACTAAGCGCCAATTTTGATTCTTCTGCAGCTAGGGAGTTCCAGTCAGAAATATTAGATAGATCGTCCGATTTTGGCAACCGTGAAGAATTATGTGATGATTCTGTATCAGTATTCATACAATTTTTTTGTTGGAGACTGGTACAATCGTCAAATAAATACGTTTCTTCTGCTTCGTTTCCTATATCTATATCATAAATGTAGCTTCTTGGCGTAGATATGTCAGTTTCGTAATCTGTTGAATCCGCCGAACCTTTCTTTTTATTACTTTTCGGGCTATCGTCGAAATGATTGATCGGCTGTGTATGTTTAAAAGTTTCGTACTGATTTTTTAACTTTCCCGAAAATTGTTTGTGCCTCTTATTAATCTTCTCTTCATTCTTTGGTGAAACGTTATTGTCCTTAATGTCCTCCGACCATATATTCGCTTCATTGCGGCATGAAAAAGAAAAATAGGAATAATATAGTAAATTATACTAAAGACAATCAAATATTTTATTTATAATCAATCATTGTACTCCAATGACTACATTTAAACCTTTCCACAACGGTTAACACGGATGGCAACATGGTGAATTTTCTAGTAACTCGAGTGACAACATATATAGTCGCCACTATATACATACATGTTGTAAACGTAATATTAATAAAATTTATATGCACTAACGCAAAAATAAATAGAATAAATATGTTGAAATGCTCTTCAGTTCAGGAATAAATATAATTATGTAATTATAAAACACACATATGTTATATATTATATAATTACCAATTGGTTTTTTACTCTCGATGTTGAAAGTAGTTTTAGAATTCATTGGTGATCTTTGCAGCTTCGAAGTAATTATGCTAATTTGTTCCAGAGACTTTTGGTATTCCCCGCGTAGTTTTTCGTTGGAAATTGTCATTTCAACCAACTGCTTTCTGAGCTCTTTGCAAAGGATCTGGTAATCATTGCTGGTACACTAAAAAATATAGTTAAATTGGTTTTTATTACAAAGACATACTTATTCTTACACATATTTATTACTAATGTGTAATTAATTTTTATGATTTAATTTCACGCAGTTGCAGGAAAATTTATACATATAAATATAATTGAAGTGTGTCTGTTGGTAATATTGAAAAAAGATGTATTTCAATACTCGCTTGAATATAAATAGGGTACATATTTTAAAACAACACTTTTTAAAATTTTTGTCTGACCGTCTTTTTGTTTGGGAATATCCGAAACGGCTAGACCAATTTTGACGGATTTTTTTAGCGTAACTTAGGCTACTTTTGCTTCAGAAGAAATTAGTTATCTTATCTTATGTTGTGAAATCTCATCTTATATTGTACACGAAAATTTGGCCCGCATGAAATTTAACCAATAAAAACTAATTAGTTTATTTATTGTTTTTTTTTTGTTTTTGCATTTTATTTTACCTTGAATTAGTTAGTTAGTAACGTTTTTTCTCAAAAATTAGTTGTGCATGGCATCCTTAAGAGAAATTGCTAAAACTTCCTGTACCAAAAATTAAAAAGTTTAAAAAAGCTTCAAAAATTTTTTATATTAATTTTTTGTAAATTTTGAATTTTTGTCAAAGCAACCAATAAACATTGGTACGGAACCCATAGAAATGTAAACAAAATTTGTACTTAATGTTAAAATCTCTATAAAATATCTGACAATTTGATGTGCATATGTCTAAAGATCATTTTTGACCGTCAAATGCCATTTTTTTTTTACTTTTTGCAATAGATCTACCAAAACGCTAGACTTGCCTTTCCAAAAATTTAACCAATTCTTCATTTTGTCAAAGCAAGTAAAAAGTTTTTTGAATTATTGAAATCGGACGCTACGTTCTCTCAAAAACTAAATTACAATTTTTGGCACTTTATGCCGCGTATCTTTGAAACTGCTGCACTGGCCAAAAACTAATTAGCATCTCCTTATCAATCGAAATCAAATGTTTATTGAATCATTCAAATCGGTTGATCAGTGTTCACCGTCAACGAAAATTTGTATCCGAACACACACACACACATACATCATTTTTTTTCTAAAGCTCAGAAATCTTTGAAGCGCAATTTTTTTGCATTAACTATAATTTACCTAACGGAAAGTTAAAAACTAAACATTCCATACACATTTTGAAATTAAAATAATATTTTTATAAGCTCACCTTAAAAAATAAGATATCCATATCGCTTTGCTTCAAATCGATTTTAGCATTCAAAAAGGTCTTCATTTTCAAGTCCTTTTCCACGTCAATAACATGCTTAGCAGTTTCAGGTAGTGCTTTTGGCGGAGTAGTTTTAACTGTTTCGCGTTCAGATTTCAGAAATTCAGCAAAACTCTGCACACTTTCATTAGAACTGCGTCGATCATTCTTGTTTTCATATAAATTTATGTAGTCCTTGTTTTTGCCATGTTTAATCATCTTCGAATTGCAGTTCTTTTGCTGACTGCAAATATTATCCATGTCGCGATTATTATCGAATTCCGCATCCTTTCGATTGCATTCAACAATGGTTTCAACAATGGACAGATTAGTGTTTAAGCTCGACGCGTCTCCACGGTCGCGATTCTCGCCGTATGTCCAATGTTTTCTTCCATGATTATTATTAAAGTTGTAATTCGGTCTTTGATTTCTTTCAGCGCCCTCTCTATAATCACAGTCCATGTTTTGCCTTCTGTTATACCTATTTCCAAAATTGTTGTTATAATACTTGTGGCTAGTATTATTATTCACTCTGTAGTCAATTCTTGGCCTTTTCTCCCTGTAGATTTCATTGTTGGAGTTGCTTACATCATTAGTGGCGCATTGTTGACATTTCACGTTTTGCCTATTCGTGTTTATCTCGAAGTTTGTGCGCTGTTGCTTTGAACTATAACCGGCATCATCGTATGGAGGCCTGTTGTTACTGTAGCTGCCAAAATTCCTGGCCTTATTTCTTGCGGGCCCATCGCCATCATGATATTTGTTATAGTTCCAATTATTATTAAAACAACTTTTATATGGGCGCGGGCCCGTGTAATATCCATTATATCTACCCTCGTACTTCAGTTTTCCAACGTTTTCGTCATTTTTCATATTCGGTCCCTCTTTTTCGTTATCGAAATTGGCAGAGCGGGCGGAACGTCGCGAATGCTCCTTGTTCCTCCGATGATCATCTGAATATGAGGTAATACTTTTAGAATCGTGTTGCGCATAATTGAAATGCCCCGATTTTTTCGAAAACTTGTTACTATTGTCCGGCGCGGATTGATAATTTAACGAATCACTTCTATTTGTAGAACAATACATTGTTTCAATTAAATTTCACTGAAGCTAAATGAATAAAACTTTTACAAAAATATATTCCGGATACTATTCGTTTAGCGCACGACTTGTATGCTTTTTTGTTTTAAAGGAAAATCTCACTGGTATATTGAATATAAATTTTCACACAATTTTTGTTTTACAGAAACAATATATATCACTGTTAGTTTGAAAACAAATTTCACTAGAGTATTTTTGTCATTCAAATCAATTTTGCGGATTGTGGATTTTCGAAAATGTTAACCATTATGGACAATACCATAATCAGACCATAGATAAAAAAAAAGTAAAGTGAGACCAAATACATGTTGGGGTTGCCATATTAAAAATTACCGTTAAATTTAAATTTGTACTGTAGATTTAAATGTTATTGAGTTGATTGATTTAAAAGTTGTTATTTGTCATTTTCTATAAACGATTTTCTTTACTTAAATTAAAATAGTAAAATAAAAATGTAACATATTTAAAAAACCAAGTTCGTTACAGCAAAATCCAAAGCAAAAATGCTTTCCTACTTTTGTTTATAGAACTGTAACAAGTCAAATTTATTTCAAATGTGTTACAAACAATAATAATTTCTCTTAATTATTAATTACCGAATTTCTTAGCAGTGATATTGTTATTCGAGGCAATTATGTAAATGTGTAAGAATATGGCATTTCACTCAAAGCAATAAGGTTGTTATGTACCCCCACTATTTCATTACTTATTTCTTCCATCTAAAATTTACAAAATTCGATTCGACAAACAAAAACATTACGATTGTTAAGTACTTACATTTTTAATTTGAAATGTTCAAGTACCTATAAGTTCGATTGTAATTTCTAGTTGTTTCTACGGTGTACCAACAACGCCTGCATATTGTACAATAATTATAAAATAAAGCTGCTATTTACAGGAAAGATACAAACAAATGAAAAAGGTTTAGTTCTTATGTACCTATTCCTATATACTAGTCTATACTTTCAAAGTTGAACTAATCAAAAATATAAGTACAAAAGGAATTTTCAAAAATTTAATCATTTTCAGAGGTATATATAGCTGTTTGAGCATGTTTCCTTCCTCTGCAAAACTTCAAAAGTTTCTAAATTTCTACTGACTTCTTTTCATTATTATAAATTTATATTAAAAATTAATTCGACAAAAAAAAAAATTCGTGTCACTAGACCTGAATACCCCCTTAACACTTTACAGATTATGAAGCTACTTCATATTAACAGAAAGCATGGTGGAAAAGAAAAGGCTTCCTGAGAACAGTTCTATATGTTTCAAATTATTTTAGTCAATATTGAAATAAATGTTACGCTCAATATAATATCCTAAATTGTAAAAAAATAAAGTAAGTTTCATCTCTATAAGCTTTGAAGAGTTGGTTGTAAGAGACTAAATTTTTCACTAAATCAAATACTCACTTAAAAACTCCTACATTATGTCTCTTTCAAAATGCATGTTTTTTCCTGGATCCAAATTTGCAACAGCTTGGTGTGCCACAGGCCATTTCAAATTCTACATGCACATAAATGGCTGTATTGCGATGATTTTTGAATTATTTTGTTACCTACACTACATAACTAATGGAGTAACCATTATTATGATTATGTTTATAATTATATTACCTTTTTTTTCACCTAAAATACCAACAGCTAAAACATTTTATAGGTTGTCTGCCCTTCTTAGTGGTATTACTAGGCATAAATTACTTCCTCGGGAAACAATTCAAGCATGTATATTTTTCTGATCGAGTTTTTAATTTTTGTACTCAGGAATAGTACAACTTCAATGACTTTTGAAAACTCAATTCAGTAATTTATCAATGTTGATTTAAATATGTAAAATAGGCTGAAACTTGATGCATGATTATGATTTGTTGCATGTAAATATTTTTAAAATCAATTTAATAATATACATTTTAATATTAGTAGTATTTTACATAATTGTACAAAACACTTACAATTAAAATGTAAAAAACAATATACAATATTTACAGTATATACAATGTATAAAATAGTTCTGCAATAAAGTTTGTTGAAGTTTATCAAAACTGGCAGTACATCATTGAGTTAGGTTCTAAATACTTTACAATATAGTCACTATTATACAAAATGACTTGCAAACATATTAAATATTACATAAAACTTAACAAATAATAAAATAAATGCTATTGTGCTTGAGACTCATTAACAGTAAGCTCTTCAGGTGTAATGTGTATTGCATTGCAAAACTTTTTTATAAAATCATTAAATATAGGTTCAGACGACTGAGGTGCTTTAATGAACTCTTGTGATTTCTCATCATCATCTTGCGTTTCTACATTGTCATCTAAGTTATTCATTTCGGTGGTGTTATTGTGTGCAGTATCATCAGAAATAGAACTATCTGAATCTATTGTAGCAGTAACTTCTGTGCTGTTTGGTAACTCAGCAGTAATTGTTTCATTTGTGCATTCGTAGGTTGCATCTAAAGCCTCTTCAAGTCTTGGATCGGTAGGTGCATCATGTGAACTCAAACGAGCTTGATTTCGAACATCACTATCATCATCATTGCACAGTTGATGTAAAACTATTTGAATTTCATTTGAAGTCTTGCATAAATCTCCAGAGAAATATTCTAAAAAATAATTTATTATGTTTAATACTATTCTTTTCTTGAGAAACTTGGCATATATATATATATATAAATATGATCATTTAAAAGTGATCAATCAAAAATGCGTACAGAAGAATTTTTCAAAATTCAAATCAATTTTGAGGATAAAGCTTTTTGAGCAATATAATCCTGCATTTATAAATCTCATAAAATTAATGGGACTAGACAAGAACCCTGAATTACATACTAAATAATGTATGACATTTTTTGTATGAAAAAAAAGAACCACTATTCTGAAAAAAAAAACAGTGGTGCAATGTATGTTTCAAACATTAATTTGCCAGTATTTTGGAGGTGATAAATTTGTAAGTGATAAAAGTATCACTAACGAGTACTGGCTTATAACAATGTATTAAAATTATAATTACCGTTTATCGACACGTCTTCAACTAGTACTTTAGCTAATGCTAATCTAACATTTGGTACTGCATCCCAAGAAAGAGCTAGAAGCGACTTTAAACACTCATTTTCAAACTGCACCGGTGGTAAACTTGAGCCTTTCAATAAAAGACCGCATATATATGCATACATTTGCCTATAAATAAACACAGAAATAAATAAGACATTTTCGAAATTGATTACATAGTATTTCTATATAACATTACCTCCTGGACCACATACTGGAGCTTGCAAACTCTTCAAACAATCTAGATAACATAGCTGATGAAAGTCCTTTTTCTTTACTTTCAGAAGATTCATCTAGCTGCTGTTCATTTTCCGATGAACGTGATACTAATGCGACTGTTAATTCTGCAGCTATTTTTCTTACACTTGCTACTTTATCTTTCAGTAATTCTTCTGATAACTCAACTAAATACTCATAGCATTGTAAGGGTGTAAAAAGGTCATGATCATTTACGCAAGCTAATAATTGCCTGGCCAACTCTTCTCTGAACCTCCAATTGCAACAATTGTCAGTTTTCCTAAAAGCACCCAATCGCGGCAAAAACGAAGATCGTTCACTGTGAGTAATGGTTTTGAAAAATTCAGCCATATGCTTGAGAACTCCAATTCGAACTTCATCTAAATCCTTTATGAAAGCTTCAAAAATGGGACATAAATCCTTACTAGCTATTTCTTCTCCTAAAATTTCTGCTATAACATGTAAAGAACTAGCAACAGTTTTGCGAACTTTCCATTGCATATCACCAGCTAAAATTTCGTATGTTCCCTTCAACAAAGGCCAATGTTTTCTACCTAGAGTTAAAGCAACTGCAGGAAAACTGTATGCACAATGGTAAGACGATTCATTATCCAATTGTAAACCGCAAGCCGGATTCACCATCGAAGTGAAATATAATACTAAAGCCTGTGGCACAATTTCTTGATCAAGATCTGTTTCCTTATTTTCACTTTCACAAATACTAATCTGTGTTGAACTTAGTTCATAAAATACTCTATCATCATTTTGTGAATTATTAACAAATGATGAATTACTGGAATCATTTAATAAACTTAATGAATCCAATTCAGGTGGAGGTATAAACCAGAAATTATTACCATAAAAATTACTATTTTCTACTAATTGATTTTCTTCATTTCTAGAAGTTTTATCACAGTCTTCCAAATGGTCAAAGTTTTCAGCACCTTCTATTACAACAATTGGTATTTTTCCCTTATTTTCTTCAGCCTCACAAAGGCTATTTTTCCTGTCACCATCATTATGAACTTTTATTCCTTCGGCTTGTGAAACTGATGAATTGTTTTTAGAAATATCAGCATCATCTGCATCTCTTATGCATTTCTCCAACAATATTTTAAGTTGTGTATTTTGTGTATGTGTCCTCCATCCATCATCACTGTCACACATATCAAGACTAGTCACTATCAATTCTCTATGTACATTATATGAAACTGTAGTGATCCTAGGATTTGCAAAAGTAGAAATAAATGGACCAAGATTTTGAAATGCGGCCATTCGAACCCAGCGACTGTCATCTTCCAAGAGTGACACATATGAACAACTTAGAATGTCATGCCTTATGCTTGGTGAAGAGAAAAAAGAAACTACTGTTGATACATCAGCACAAGCTTTTCGAACACCCCAGATATCATCTGAACATAGTTTAACAAAACTGGGAATCTAAAAATGAAGTAGAGATTAATAAATTTCTCAAATATTTTATTTAACATAATTCATCTATTCAATATTAGTGTACTGCTTACCAATGTACTTTCAAAGCATTGTCTACCAACTATCGCACATAGATCTCCAAAACTTGATGCACAGGCTTTTCTAACACAAAACGGTTCCTCCGAACACAGTTCTGTGAATCTTGATAATATAAATTTCGTTGTAGCTTCACGTCCTAACAGAACTGCCATCTTTGCCATTATCTAGAAAATAAAGATAATATTAAACTATGTCACCCTAAAATAGCGTTGTTATAATAACCCTTTCATTACCTCATTATGTGGCCAAACATGTGCGTTTAAGCTCATCAAAGCTGGCTGTGATATGAATTTAAAACAACATTTCACAACCCTTTGATGAGATCAACCACACAAATATTTATTGATAAAGTAACATTGTAACGAAGAGTTCATGTTCAAATCAGCTCATCAAAGCTGGCTGTGATATGATTATCAAAGAAACATAGTCACAACCACTTTGTGAGATGATACAAACACTTTTATCTACAAAATATAAAAATGTGAACAAACAAATCGAAGAATCTGTATGCAGCCTAACTCGTCAAAAATGGCTGTGATATGATGGAATATAACATTACACAACCATTTTTACGATTAGGATACATAAGCAACATCAAAAATCATGATCAATAATATATATCAAATCCCATGCCGATCATAATTCCAACCCAGCTCATCTAAATGGCTGTGATATGGTTCCTAATACATCACGCCACAGCCAAATCGATGAATGGGGCGAAATCAACTCCTCACAAGTCCAAATCTTTCAATACATACATGTTTCAAGAAGGCAAGTTTTCAATTCTGCTCATCAAAGCTGGCTGTGATAAATAATAAATCAATATAACAGCACAGATTTGGTGACAGAAGCAAAAACAAACAAGACACAAATGTATACATATTTTTATAAACAAAAATGTATTATATGAATTGTCATATTGAAATACTTACACCAATAGCAGAAGTTAAAGACTCCTTGACCACCGTACCACCATTTGGATCGGTAAGACTTAAAACCGCCGGGCATATTTTTTCAACTAGTAAATTTTGTGGAATCAAATCTTGCTCCATTAACCTTAATAAAGTGGCTTGTGCTGTTTTTCTAACCTAAAATAAACATTTTTTATAATGTAACTCATAGTATATTTTAAATACCATTTTTAAAATAAAATGGTCACTTGAAAACACAACAGAACTCGAATGTATAGATGTTAAATGTTACTCTCAAAATATGATCAATCGCTATTTAAGTATGAAAAGAAAACTTGACTGATGCAAGCAGGATTACCATAAATTAAAACAATTATTGTTTACTTTAATTAGACAAAATATACTAACCACATCCTCTGTGTCCTTGAGATGTGCTATTATCACATTGAGTAATGTACCATTTGCTAGACTGGCCAGCAGTCCATTTTGCTCTCGACATGCAGATATTGCATGTGAAATCTGTTCCACAAGTTCCATTCGAACACATGTTTCTGTATAAAAAAGAAATAACATTAAATGAAAATGCGATAAATAGAATCATTAATAGAATTTGCAGTAGAAAATCTCTAAAAAAAAACTCATAATTCTATCCTGTTTAAGTAAATGAAAATTTTGAAATACCACAGTACAAAACATGAGCGCTTTTTATCTTTGAGAGGACCAATATTCTGAGAATCCCATATACTAATACTACGCGCTTAATAATGAAAAGAACCCAAAGTAAAATACCGCAATGTGTGTAGCCGACGTTGCCGCCGAAAAGCAGGTAAAGAATCCTTCAACCCGAAGATAAAGGGATGAATTAGGCAAGTTCAAATATATTTGAAAGTACGTAAAAATTGAATATAAAAGAAACATAGCATATTTAGCTTAAAAACTATACCGATATATGATCAATTGATCAAGATGGTGAGATAAAGTACTAACATGTAAAAAAAAATAATTTATCCTAAAAATCGTACAACAAATTCAATATTTTTTACTAATGTGAAACGATTTATAAATTAATAAATTACAAAAATAAAACAAAATGCTAGAACCTAGAAAAATAGGCAGAAAATTTTTTCATATCTACTAACAATATTCCTAGAGCGTTTCTTGTTGCCAAACACAATTAACATGAATCGCCTTATTAAATGCACAAACGCATGCGCTTGGGCTGCGGTATGCGCAACGGTAAACCGAATACCTTCCACAGATTACACATACAAACATTTTTGAACACATTTACAAATATCATTTTATACATCTTTTTCATTATAGTCCCCTCTTCGTTATCAAAACACGTGCATGGTGCGTACATTACATACATACACGCACACACAAAACCGTACACAGAAAAACCGTCTAAATACTTCACTCCGTACTTACACGCGTGATTCGGGATAAATGCATATACGGTACAATATAAGAAAACCGTCTACTACTCGTAATATGCCTTCGAGGATTTTATACATACATGTGCATGTGTGCATTCCACAATGCAACAAGCACAAGGCAGCAGACATATTAAAATGGCGCCAGACGACGCATACCAAGAAAAACCGCGGCGTCATCTTTAACACATACGAAAAACACGCGACGAAAGCGTAAAATAAATAACAGTTAACTTTGCAATTATGAAAACAATCACCTGACTTGATAAATCACGTGCTTCGCCGAAAAATCTCCAAACATTTTACAAGAAGCGTTGTTCACTGTCCGAAAGGGCGTGTGTGAGTAAAAGACACTGCGTTCAAACACTATACTAAGGCACGTGTGCACTATTAAATAACTTTTGATTTTAATATAAGACACTTCAGATATTAACACTAGTATTTCTTCGATGGCACTGATCGTATTAATTTACAACCGAAGCGGCATGCCTTATTTTTCAATAAAACATAACCTCAAATGCGGTCCGCTCCGAGTACGGGATCGAAATGGCGTCTCGAAAGCGCGCGCGCACTGGCACTAGCGGTACGATGAAGAGTACGGCACGATCATTGCTACGCGAAAGAGAGAGATGAACGATGACATCGAGGCGTTTATGGGAGTGGACACCGCACACAGCAAAACGACAAATAAAACAACGAGAGTGCTGCCGCGTGGCTAAAGAACTAAACACGCGGGAAAAAACCATATCACGTATACAAAGGGGGTGATCACTGACGCGGAGAACAAACCACGTGGTTCAAGACTATACGAATTATATGGATGTGTATTTCTTAAGATAACTAACTTATAGTCTATAAAAATAAGATTTAGGATTAATAAAGATAGATTTCATTTTTTTATGATAACAACTAGCAAATTCGCTATACATGTTAGAAATATCTATGTAAATATACAAAAAATCTAAACACCGCAATTCTTATAATAAGAATATCTTATTCGTATTATAAGAATTGCGGTGTTAAGATTTTTCGAAATACATAGATATATTCGAGATGACTCTTGCTTATTCTAAAAAAATTGCTTATTCTAAATGCCGTTAAAGCATTTTTTTTATTAGATCAAAATAACTAAAAGTTAAAAATTTAATTTATGGTTTCTATAAATAGTATTTCATTTATTAAGAATCAAATTTGAACTGAATTTGAAATTCGATCTTGTGGTTTCTGTAAGTAGCATTTAATATTAACAAAATAGATGCAAATTTATTTTGGACAATAACTAACGACTTTAGTATACAAGTTAGAAGCATGTAATTAAATATAAAAAATTCTTAACACAGAAATTCATATAATAAGAATAAAAATAAATATGATATTTCTCGTTACATTCTCTCGTTATATGTACAAATTTCTTGATTCTAAATGTCCCATAGAATTTATTTTATTAAAAATCAAAATCGAACTAAAGTTGAAAAATGAACTTATGGTTTCTATAAATAGTAAATCATATCAGAATAGATGGAATTCTAATTGAACAATAACAAAATCCTTAATAATTTTAAAAACAAATTTCTAAGTTGTTAATAATAAGAATAAAAATAAATAAGATGTTTGATATTTCTCGTTACATCCTTATGATTATATCATTAAATTTCCTGCTTCTAAATGCCCAATAATATTTTATTAACAAATAAAATTAGTTAGTAAAGTTAATTAAATTTAAGTTAGTAAAGTTAGTTTTGCAAATGATCTATTTAATAATTTTGTAATTATTGTTTAACATTTATTGCATCACTCAACTAAAGTTAAGTTAAAGTTAAAAATTAATAAGAAAATTACAAAAAAAATCATCTAAAATCAACGATTGATATAAAAACAAAGATGCAAAAACCGAATAATATCAGAAAATGGTAAAGTTAACATTTAATTTTGTAAATAGTCTGCTTAAGCATTTTGTAATACTTATTCGATAAAAAAACTGAATTATAATTAGATTCATATATCTATTTCAAATTCCCCCGAACACGAGACACAGCATCATAAATTATTCCGCTAAATCCAAAATCTAAATCGAGCTAAGGGTGCCCCCATAGTAATTCTAAATATAGAAAACCGTCAAATATCTTCTATATTTGTCTTATTATTAAGCTTCGGCGCGCGTGCTTCTACGGTTTCCTCTTTACGAATGTAACATTTTTCCAACGTTCAGGACGAATTCAAATGAATGGGATGCCTGAGTAATATAGTAATAGTCATGCTATGATACGTTATTCAATTTCTGTGAATAAATAAAGCCGCGTCATTAAAATAGTAGTACATCATACCGAATAACACGAAAATAACGTAGAGTAACTACTAACTAGTTATTAATGCGCGGGGGGATAAGATCAAACTCATTCATCAAGAATTACTATGAATCATGCATTTAGAATCTATTGAGAAGCGCCATGCTGTTACGTAGATTGTACCAAGTCATTAAAGAGCGATGGAAATTGGTCAATCAAGTACGTACTTGGCAGAAAAACGGGTACAGTTATGGGAAAAAGAAGGAAATGCAGCCAGAAAACTATAAAGATAACGATATTTTATTATGGTCAATTTAATCATTTTATACTTGTTTATCTATTATAATGGTTGGTTATTTTTAAATATTAATTTACATCATTAGAAGTATTGACAATAAATGAAATGTAATTCTGGTTGCAGGTGTAAATGTAAAATCGTTATCTTTAACAATTTTCTCAAACCGCAAAATTTAATTGTATGGTTACCACTTACATCCAAAAAATAAAGCTATCGTTATTTCCTAATTTTTCACATTAATAAAAAATGTGAGCACAACGGACAAATATGAAATTTGATAAATGGTTACTCTATTTTTGAATTGGATAAATAAGGGACATCTTAGTGATGAGCCAGATACAATAAGAAAATGACGATTCCAAGAAAATACATTAATTTTCAGACCGAAAAATGTAAAAATAAAAATTCAGAAATTTAAAATTAGAACTCTATAATATTTAATTTAACTATGTAATTTAGAAATAGAAACATCAAAACAAAAATTCATTTCATTATTCTTCAATAATTATTTTCCAAAGTACGGATGACAAAATACAAAATAGGATCAAAATAATATACAAAATAAATTTCAATTCATTGTCAATTTCAAAAGATGATTTATCGTGAATGAGATATTTTTGAAATTGAACGTGAATAACAAAAAAAAGTATCTCAGATTTTTCCTGTCTGAAAATATAGTATAAAAGTATGAATATGTGATTAAATTTCCTACTTCTAAATGCCTTATAGTATTTATTTTTCTGACAGTAAAAGTTTCTGCAAGGTACAAAAATTTAGTCAACTTATTTTTAAATTAGTTGTGATATTCGAAATCTGTATAAACATCGTTTATAAGGCTAGATTATATATATAACGATTAAAATATAATAATTATCATATTTTAATGAATGCTATAGCATTCATGTCATTCCGCATCACAATGAAAATGAATGCTAGCTAAAGCATTCACGTTCGCGAACGTGTTAAAAATAAAAATTGATTGAAAACTGAAGTTAAAAATTGATGAGAAAATTATAAAATCCGAAATTCGTATAAACATCGTTTATAAGGCTAGATTATAATATAATTATCGTATTTTAATGAATGCTATAGCATTCATGTCATTCCGCATCATAATGAAAATGAATGCTGGCTAAAGCATTCACGTTCGCGAACGTGTTAAAACTGAAAATTGATTGAAAACTGAATTGAAAACTGAAGTTAAAAATTGATGAGAAAATTATAAAACCCGAAATTCGTAAAAACATCATTTATAAGGCTGGTCAGACTAAATATAACGATTAAAATATAATTATCACATTTTAATGAATGCTATAACATTCACGTCATTCCGCATCACAATGAAAATGAATGCTAAAGCATCTACGTCCCGCGAACGTGTTAAAAAATCAAAATCGAACTGAAGTTGAAAATTGATGAAAAAATTATAAACAACATCATGTAAAATCAAAAATATATATAAAAAGATACAAAAATAATTCAATAATAGAAAATGTAGTAACTAAAAACAAACACATTGAACATTGAAAAATAAAAATATAAATAATAAAATAAAATTTAGTAATTAACAAGTGATGCTGATAAAAGTAAAAAAAAATAAGTTTGCTACCTAAGTGAAGTCGTGAAATTCAACATATTAAAAAACAGTTTAATTTTCAGCAAGGATACATTTTTATAATTTAAATTTTTTATTAAAAATCGAATTATTTCCAACCAATTTTATCATATTTATTCTTGACTTGAATTTCAAAACCTAAGATATTTTTAATTCAGGAGTAACATATATAGATAACTTAATCAACTTGAACGTTACTTTAAAAAAGTGCATATGAAGTAAACAGCCAATTTCTTTAATAGAAAGAGGCCTAACTAAAAACGAAGGAATTGGAAATGAAAAAATAAAAATGTAATAAAATTAAATTTAGCAATTAAGAAATAACACTGACACAAGTAAAACATAATAGTTTTCTTGAAAAAAAAAAATCTTTACAGAAATAAAGGAAAAAATCAAGACGCTTAAGTTCTAGCTAGATGTATAGTAAATACATAGCTAACTAACTAAAGAGGATAAAATTACAGCAAGGAAAAAAATCAATGTGATCATATTTATTCTTATTTCAAATTTCAAAACCCTACTTCAATTTTGAAATATAAAATTCAAGCAACTCCTGAATCCTAACATTGTCTCCCCTACCCCCCGCGATTGTCCTCACGCGTCCCAAATAAATCTCATCGTCATTTGCCTTCTAAAATCATTTGTTAGTTATTTCTAGATCCTTCTCATCAGACAACGCACTATTTGGATACAAGGGTGCCGAGTTGTGATGATCTCCTTGCATGGACAAATGTCGTTTGTGACGGTTATTTTCGGAAAAGATCTTCTTAAAATAAAAGTGACAAGCGAAATAAGGGGGCCCCCTATTCTTTTCTGGAAACATCTGTCGATACATTTATCATTCGATTCTTAACACCACATCGATTGGTTGCGATACCAAGAAAATAGATACGATGGCAAAGCGTAGGCACAGCGAGTACATTGGGGTCTCAATGCCCTCGTGTTGCGTTTGTTATTTGGGTATTGTGCAATTTGTGTTTCGCACAAAAGAAATTCCTATTGCGGAAGGTAGGTACTGAGAACAAACACAATGTATACCTGGAAGATATATATCCAAAGGCAATTTGCGAAATGTGGTCTCGGTATGGATATTGATATATTTGAAATTCATGTGAGTGTCTTGGTTATGGGTAAGAACACCCTTGATTCGTGAATATAACAAACTTATACGTAACGTATAGATAGAAGTCACAGAAGTCGCTATCAAAGGAATTCGTAGTAATGATAAGTTAATTTCTCAAAAATAATTTATCCAATTTGTGAATTCTCATGATATAGCAACTGTAAAATATGTAAAGTTAATCAACTTGATTTCTCAATAACAGAAATAGCAATTATTATGAGTCTGCAAATTCTAACATGTATACCGTTAGCTCTAGTATATTATAATTTTAAACAAATGTACACCAAAATAGCAAATAATTAGTTAAAACATATTCAAAATTGATACATCAGATTAATAAAATGCGTTAGACAAAATGCAATTGTTATAAATAAATTAAAAATTAATTACTGAATATAAATGTATGAATGAAAATTTGATTGATTTTAGAAACTATCATACTTAACACGTTAATCGCCATGTCAGTCATGTGTCTTATGCTAAGAAGTTGTACATATAGAAGATGACAACAAAATATTAAATATATTTTTGGGTCTAATTTTAATATTCAATTTTAACACTTTTATTTGGATATTATCTGGTGTCTTACATAATTTGCTAGAAGGGATAGAAGAATGCACAATAATTGAAAGGAACTTAAGGTTCAGAAGGCAAGAAGAAATAAAGAATAAAATTTTTAGTTATCTACATATTTATAAAAATAAGTCGGGTTTTCCTTCCTGACTATATAACTCCAGAACGCATGAACCGCAAGGTTTATAGCTAGGAAAATTAGTAGTGCATGGTATCGTGCCTTAATGCAAATTGCTGGAACTTCACGCACCGTAATTAAAAATTCGAGTAATGACATTAGTGAGAATTATCAGAATTATGTTTGGTTAAGTCAACAAGCAATTCTTGCCGCAAAGAATAATGATGTACACGCACTGAATTTCACCATTCAATCAAAAATTGCTGGCGATTTGGTGGCATACCAATGATTCCGACTGGTCTTCCGTTTGACTTCAAACCATTGCAATTTCCAGTTCGCCTTGCATTCGCAATAACAAGTCGCAAGGCCAATCGCTTAGTGTTTGCGGGATAAATTTCAAATAGATTATTTAGAAAATCATTATTTTTCACATGGGCAGTTATACGTTGCCTGTTCACGAGTTGGAAAACCATCCGCTTTGTTTGTGTTAACGTCAGACCAAAAAACAAAAAATATGGTTTACCAAAGAGCACTTCAATGAAACAGATAATTTGCGGATTCACTTTCATTTACTTAGAGAAGTTCAACTAAAAAACACTTCATTTTTGTATTCGAAATAAATTCATTACTGTTGTGTAATAAAATCAAATTTTACCTTTACAAATATAAAGCAAACAAAAAATTTCATCGGAACGTCGACGAAACGAAGTTCGTCGGGTTTGTTAGTCATTTATATAATATGTTATAGTTAAAATTGTAATCAATGTATATTTGAATCAATGAAAGTTAAAAAAAAAATAACAAAAAAAAAACAAGACTCTGACGAAGCTAAACTTGGCATAACCTGAAAATTTCTTGGCTTTCGAGAAAAAAAGTTTTAATAAAAAGCCATGTCAGTCATGTATGTGTGACAAAAAATAGTGCCAGAAACATTGACAAAAAAAATTCTTTGGTACATTTATAACTAAGTTTTATAATAAAGTTACCATCAAGGCGTTTTTAATCCGTTTAAAAAAGTCAGATTTTGCGAAATAGCTAACAATTGCATTGGTTTTACTTCTTTATCATGACCTACCTGAATCATTTTGCAACCGTATTATGATCTCTTCCAATTCCTCAACCGTATTGTCTGTGTAGGAGCAGCTCGAACCACCAGCTTGCGCCTTGGACGTGAGTCCACCTCCACGCAACACCTCCAGGAGCACTCGGCCCGACATCAACCTGATTCGATAACGGAAATATAAAGCAATTGCGAAATTAATAAATGGATATGTCAATAAACAAAGTTGTTAAAGGTAAATGAAGTAATAAGTTTGATTAGGCGTGCAGCACGCATGTGCAATTTATAAGAGCGATAACGGTCCAATACTCAGCGTCCTAGGCTTGAGAAAAGTGTTCCGTGTATCGCGATAAAATTGATAATCGGTATTTAAGTCCATGGTGCATGCATACTATAACGCTTAAAACATTTCCCAAAAATTAAAAAAATTAAGGGTTTCGAATTGACTATTTCTTGCAAATTAAACAAAAAATCACCATTATCCACCAAAAAAATTAAAAAAAATCAAGTTTTTATATAAAAACTATTAATTTTATTTATTATGACAATACCTACATAGCCCTAGAAAAAGATATGCAAAACTAAATTACAAAATCCCAATTGACCTTAAGAAATCAAACTTTCATCGCTGATAAAGCTTTTCACAGAATCAATTACGTTTTAGTACGAATCATTTCAAGCAATCATTAATCATCATCCAAATATTCATGAAGTTTTAAATTCGTGACGCTAATACACATATAATGATTTCAGGAAAATCTAGCGCAGATAAGTGAGATCACACATATTACTTTATTCGAAAGCTGCACATTTTTTTCTGCCACGTCACACGCGAACAGAACAACAATACAAGTGAGATACCATTAAAAAGTGAATTTGCATAAAGGTCATCAAGAAGTGAAGTCATCGCTTAGCAATCCACATATTAATTTCCTATGATTAATTCATTAATTCGAAGGAACATCTAATGTCGTGTACGGGAAAATCGGAAAACTGTTTACTCATCGGTTTCATGGAAAAATGATCGATATTTTCAGAAGTAACTAATACACACACAGTGCACAACAATCGGTAGTATATCCTTGAGATGTTCATGAAGTTTGTACGAATTTGATGAAATTTAACAGAATTAGAAAATTGTGTGAACCAGGTAAGCAAGGATAATTAGAACAGTGAGCTTTGTTCCAAGAAATGTGTATTACGAAAGTGAAGTTGAATCATCGTTGTAATACAATGCATTTTCCACCCCCGCAGGGGACGTAGAAATATGATTTTGGCGCAATTCTTCATAAAACATACATATATACCTATATATACATTAGGGTGGTCCTTAAAATGGTCATTTTCGAATTTCCTTGCTCCCAAGGGCTCAAATGGTTCCAAATAGATGAAAAACAATTCTCTAAAAGTTTTAACTCTTAATATTAACGTTTAGATAGAGCGCAATTCAATCAAAATTTTGTATGAAAATAGCATGGAAAAATTTTCAAAAATTTTAAAAATGTTTTTTACATGTAATTTAGCGAACAAATGAATGAATAAAACTCATTCATTTGTCGTTAAGTTATACCTAAAACATTTTTTTTTTTTAATTTTCAAAATTTTTTTCATGCTCTTTCCTTATGTTTGATTAAATTGCGCTCTATCTAAACGTTAATATTAAGAGCTAAAACCTTCAGAGAATTGTTTTTCATCAATTTGGAACTATTTGAGCCCCTGAGAGCAAGGAAATTCGAAAATGATCATTTTAAGGACTACCCTAATATACATATGTGTGTGTATGTGAGTAAGTTCTTCCAGGTCGATACATCAAATAAAAAGCAAAGATTTAGAAGTTAATCTTTAATTAATTAATTTTTTAATTTGTTAATTTTTTCCAAACGTTTTGACATAGGATTTCATATCATCATCAGTGGATATAAATATAGTCTTACATCAGTAGCTGTACACATAATATTGCACTATCATATATACACTAACTTGATTTTCAAGAGAATTATTATGTTTAAATATTGTAATTGAAAAGAGCAAAGTGATTTATATGAATTACAAGAAATTTTTGCACGAATTTAGTTGTTATTGAATTTGGCTCCAAGGATTGAATGTCTATATTCATATATTGATTTAGATCAGTTGCTTTATATTTATGAACTATTATGAATCAACATCCTGTATTTAAAATTTTCAGTACAAAATTATTCATTGACGGCCAAAAAATGTTTTTTGAAAATGACCTACAAAGTCCTGATACTGAAATGTCGTCACTTCCGGCGTTATCAAAAGTGACAACGACAAAAATATCTTAAATACTAACGTAAACAACAATTCAGAAAGCCTTCATCAACTAACTCATGCTGATATGATGCATGTCGTATGCAATATACCAAAGCCTTTTGTAAATGAAAATTGATACCAAGTAAAGGAAAAAGTAGAGTAGTAATAAGAATATGGTTTACTATACTCCCTCAGAAACACATTGAGAAACATCGCGTTAAATGACGTCACATCCGGCCGTGTCGTGTCATTGCCCACCGCGCACTCTCACTCCATCTATCTCTCTCTTTCGCTCGCATCACACTACTACAATACGACTCACACTAAAATGATTCGACTCTAGGAAACATATTTCATACATCACTAACAGCGATGCGACTTTACCCTCATGGAGGAAGGAAATTGAAATAAGTAATTTAAAATTTGGATACATATGGAAAACTGTGGTCCATATTAAATACCAGAATGATCCAAATTGTAGACATAATAAATTCCATGAAATATTGTTTTATATTTGGTTTATTTTACGTAAGATTAATATTGACGACACTATGTGTTATCATATTGATCGTTTATAAAATGTGATTGGTATTTTTGTATTTATAATTGAAAAGAAAGGTTTCAAGAATTATAAATTTTGGCAAATTCGACTAGGGAGAAACAAAAGCGATATCAGATCTGACACTTGAATTTATTTTGTTTTCTCCGTGCTGTCACTATATGAGCCTATCTGTCCAGTAGAAATGCGATGCGTGTTGACGGGCCGCTACAGCAAATGCGGTGCGTGTTTACAGGCCGCTACATACATATACAAATGAAATAAAGAATGCCACTCATAAAGCATTACGTTAGCGATATCAGTAACAAATTTTTAGTTACCAGCATACAATTATTTACCTTGACGATTAATTATTACGCACTAAATATAGATCAAATCAATAAATTCTCTTCAAGGGATGAACCCGACTTCACAAATTCGGTCAACCTTCCCCGGTGTCTCCTAATCATCCCATTAGCGTGAAGTTCACACGCATACAAGTCGATCCACACTCACCACACACTAACACAAATCGCTTAAACGTCAGAGCCACTATATATAAGAATGTACCAACACAAACTTCCCACAGTTCGAGTCGCGCCGCACACATCTAATCGGAACTGAAACACGCTCACACACATTGTTATTCAATGAGTAGAATAGTGCAAGTAGGTCTCGCTGCCGACTCTACTCGATGGAACTTCATTCATATATATTTGTAAAATATATGTTGGAATTTGTGTATTTGTATTCGATATTGAGAAATGATGCGCTATTTAAATACTGCTATGTTTATGTAACGGTTAATCATTTACTTGGTCGTTGTTAATTATTTTTTGTTCTTTAAGGAGCACAACTAGTGTAAAATTTTCAAAAAATCAATTTTTCCATATTTCGATAAGTTATACCTTTAAAAATAACATACCAGAATTTTAAATCGATATTTTAAATAGTTTTTGAGTCACAGCCATTTAAAGAGTATATATATAGTATATAGTATAACGATCATTTTATCTTTAAACGCGTTTTTCTCGAAACAGCATTTTCCGAATTTGCTGCAGCGATTACTCAAAAACAAATGATCCGATCACGATCAATTTTTTTTTTACATGTTCTATATATAGTTCTCCGTAAAATGAACTATCGATTTTTTGATCGGAACAAAAATCGAATTTTGGCAGTCCAAAAACGACTAAAATTTTGGGTAAAATTCGACTTTTTTTTTAAAAAAAAAAACGCCGTCATTTTGTCAATTTTTGATTTTTTTTTCTTTATCGTAGTTCATTTTACAGACAATTATCTAGTTTAACGAGATTTTTTTTTAAATCACTGCAGCAGTGAAGGACCTTTTTTGTCGCGCCGTTGGAGATCGACGATAACTTAAAAAATATTTTATTTTTTTCTTCAAAAATTTTACTTTGTATTCTTAAAACATGTATAAATATATTCCTAAAATTTTGAAATGATTGATAAAGCAGTTTTTTTTTTAATATAAATTCCCAAAAATCACCTTTTTTTAGGCGGTTACACTAGTTGTGCCCCTTAATATTAGTAATCACAACAGCTGAAAATGTTTAAATTCGATGCTGGTAGTTATTGTATTCGATTATAATCTGTCTAAATTTCATGCGTGAAAACATGCGATATATATTAATTATTATTTTGTAGAATTCTCAATTTGATGTCTAAAGTGTCGAAGTCTAATAATCGGGTAAAACAACATAAAAAAAAATTCTTTTATATTCCATACTGTTCGGCTATAATCCTAGCCTTCATTTGGTAATATAAGTTTTTTAACCACTGAATGAAGGCTAGGATTATAGCCGAAACGTATGGACTGCAAAATAAATTTTTAAAAGATTTTTTTTTTATTGGCGTGATACCCGATTAGTAGACGTTAATTATTACATAAAAATCACTATACACAAATGAGTCAGAAATATTTTTATATCAAAGGTAAGGTAATTTGTTACTACACAAATTTAATAATACCAATATACTTACATTTTTATACAAAAAAAATAGCAAGTGCAACTAAAATACAGTTAAAAATAATTTTTTGTTTACAGGATACTGCTATAAAAAATAAGTTTTGTCCAAATGGTCTCCGGATTTTAAATTTTGGCATATGTTATTGATTGGTGTTCCAAGGTACAAATATTACACCGTGAAATGATTCCACGTATAAATAAAACTCATTTCTACAACACACTTGCCAGAAAAAAATAATCATGATTTTACAATATTTTTACAAATTGTGTCAAAAAAGGTTTTTTTGAATGCAAAAATTTGTAACTAAGGGATCGTTCAAGTATTACGTAAGCAGATTTATTACAATTATTTAACCCC